AATCAGAAGAAAAGACCTGGGTTTTGTCTGTCACACCAACTGGCCTGTTTCCAATCAGCCACATACATATCTCCCTGTGGAAGAATCCCCATAAGGAATGTAATTCCTTCACAGGAGTGCAGTGGTCTGTATCATGTAATGTAAAAGGAGGACTCCTTGTGAGGAGATACTGGTCCTCATTACAAGTGTTAAGTTCGGGGATGGGGCACGCAATATTAACGATGCATGTGGAGTTGACCTTTGCATGCGAAAGAGCTGAGCAAACAACCACACGGAGGAATGTCCATACATAAATATCAGCTGCAAGGTGGTGTCCCTCACATGAGATAAGAGTAGAAACACTGACTGAGAATAATGCCATTTGATAGATTTAAACATGACATGCAAAATTACTATCCAATGTACGACTTTTCAATAAATGAGCTGAACCTTTTCATCATGAATGTCAAATAAATCTATAGTATCTGCTCTAACAGCTCAGATAAAAGTAGGCCTAATAGTTTTCCTGGATGTTTCATCAAAATGCAATTATTAGAACAATATATGAAGCAAAGAAATGTTGATCCTCAGTTTGACCTTCACATGTGGCAGACTAAAGCCTGTCCAGGAATGTCCTGACGTTGAAAACTAAAGCGAACCAAAGTACGCTTCCATTGTCCTGCTCCTTTGCTCTTTGATCCCTTTCACTCACCAAGCCGTCTTGCCACTACAGTGAGACTCAATCTGTGACTGATGGGCCGAGTGAACAAGTGTCAACTATTCAGTCAGTGTGGTTTCAAAGCAGTTAGGACATAAGAGAGGTCTGTGTAGTCATGTATGTTGCATAACGGCACATGGGATCCCAGACAAAGGACAGAGTTCATTTCGGCCTGATGGCTTGTTTATTTTCCACAAATCTGTGCTTTATGGCGCAGATTTAGACCATTTAGCGATTTATCTCTGCTCACTCACGGGTTGTGGGTGAGCAGAGATAAATCGCTTAATGGTTTTCCTGGAATGTTTCAAAAAGTTCACAGGGAGGCTAGATTAAAACAGATTTTTAGCTGATAAACAATTGAGCTGTTTCGCCGAACTGTTTTTTTCTCTGCTTTGTGGCTTTAATGTTCAAAGTCTTCAATGTTCTCAGATTCTGTGAACCTAAACAAGCCAACACATTTTTTCCCAGCAGCAATAACAGGGATTGTTCAATGAAATTGGCAAAATATTCCATATCAGACTGACGGAGTAACAAAACGAAAAAGGAGCCAGAATTTGAGGTGGAAACCTTCGGGTCTGAAAAGAGAAGCCAGTAGAATAACACTTCTGGTTCCCTGGTTTCAAGTCACTGTTTTCTTCTTTTTTTTTTTTAAATGGGTTTTTGGTTAGATGCCTGAGATAAGGTCTGTGGTTAACACAAGCTTAAGACAGTTTAACGTTTTGTTCTATGATATGAAATAAGGCAGTAGATACCCCTCTGGAGATTTGGGTGAGTGAAGCTTTAAGGCGGTTGATAATAAGTGTGACCACGAAACTTACTCATGCCAAACACCAGTCCGCCTTTAACTATGGGACTTAGTAAATTATGGTCCTAGAGTAAAATAAACAATAACGCAGGGTCTGCTTTACGGCGTGGCTATCTTGTAGTTGACAGGTCGCTCCCATGGGGTTGTCCTGTTTTGTTCCTACAACTTTGCGAGGGCAAGTCAGTCACAATAGTTTATAGCTTTTTTCTATATGCTCTGCTCTGTGCCTTTACCTGCCTCTAACTGACAGTTAGCATGACAATGGTCACTGACAGGAAATATAATAATTTTTTAAATATGGCCAATATCAGATTCCTGTGTGAACTTCATGGCCCTGAGCTGACCCGCATGCACAAAGGACAACAAAGACATCACTCCCAGCACGCTGTCTAAGGAGGTAAATAATGGAGGCCACTGAAGACAGCTGTAAGGGGCTGAGGTCTAGGGTAGTAAGAGGAATCTACACTCCGGCCAGAGGGCTCCACCCACTTCTTCAGGAGAGCATTGGGATCAGGCGTGGGAAGAGGCACACCTGGAGCTGATCTCCTCATCAGGGAGATGAGTAAATGTGAAGCAGGAACGCTGATCAAGGGGAGAACAGGCGGAGAGCAGGGTCGCGCCTCCCTAAGATCCCCAGGGTTGGAGAGATTTTAAGACCGGTAAGCCGGCTAGTGGCCCGGCTGAAAGAGTTTATTTTGTCAAGTTTTGTGATAGAGCTCTGGACTGAGCTAGGTGTTCTGTTGTTTTGTCCTGAAAACTGCAGAACTGCCTCTGCCTCTGATTGTCCTCCGTCCTCCGTACAATCCTGTTACACAGCCTTCACGTTTCATTTATAAGATGATGTGCAGTGGAAGCAAGCAAATTTGTAAGCAGATAATAACAAAGAGAGTGAGAGCCAAATTTTCAATTATGGTGGCGTAATGGTGGCTACTTTTGTTCAGAGGACGTAAAAGTCGCATGAATTTCGATACGACTGTACAGACTGAGGTCCCCTTCCAAAAACATCAGACCTGTATCTGATTTAGGACGACAAAGTGTTAAATCAGAGATCGGATGCTGTGTGATTTGTGCCGTTCACAATGTGAACAGATTTGTCACATCTGCGCAAAAGGTGGTCCGATTTCGGCCTCTTTTGCCTGCAGCGTGAATATAGCCTATCGTCTCCTGCCTGTAGCTACATACTTAAGGTACATTCATGACTCTTCTCATCTTATTCTCGAAAAGAAAGCTAATAAGTGTATTTTCCCAAACTTATTATCCATCCTGCAGAGATTCCTGTTTACTAGGAGATTAAAGCATGTCACCACTCTGTCTCAATGTCTAATCAAGACACTCAATCATGCCTCTTTGGGAGGTCATGAGACGTAAAGCAACAACCTTAGAGCACTGGTACCTCTGGGATACTCTGCAGAGAAATATGAGACTCAGAGCATTTACTGTTATTGAACAGTCTTGACTATACAAACAGTTCTCATGCTCTCTGTCAAAACTCTGACAGATTACAGCTGAGTGGAGAAAAGTTGATCACATAAATTGGTTCAATAATTACAGATTGGAGTTTCACTATTATACAAACATTTCCCAGGGTTAGAGCTTCTTAAACGACCACAGTTTGTTTTGTAATGAATGGACTGAAATTTAATTTAAGAAAGAGTTAAAAGAAGAGAAAGCAAATGAGGAAGTATCTGTGACCGCCATGAACGAATGACTGCAGCAGTTAAACCACAAATCCTCTCATGCTCTTCAAGCTCGCCGCTGAGCTCATTTGTTAAAAAACAAAAACAACATGGCCCCCGCCCAATGAAGAAGCCTCCACTGTCTGCCAAATACTACAAAAAAACACTGTAAAGCACATGCTCAGCACGAGTGGATTAGTTCTATCTGTGCTGCAGAGTTTTTGATACCTCTCAACATTTGGAAGTAATTTCCCAAAAGGGTCTGGGAAAACATTCACTGCGCTCAGCTCCAAGACAAACAGAAATGTGTCGCTGGCAGTGATTAACAACTCCGCTGATTCATAAAGCTCTTGGATTCGAATGACGGACCTCTGGCCTGAGGAAATTTGCTGAGAGGCCTCAGATTGTCCCCACACTCACTCTGGGAGCCATTTACTGAATCAGAACCTATAGAGCCGATCAGATGAGATTGCTTGGATGGTTTCCAGGGGGAAAGGAAGCTCAGGCATGTGCTGTATGTAACGGTTGTCGGTGAAGGGCTTGAACTATGAGGGGACATGATCGCAGTTGCACACACTGTCTGTAGGGGTCATGTATGGAGCACCAGTGTTGATGCAACGTGAGACAACTACCACAGCTAACAGTTGGCTTTTGAAGGAGGAGATTTTCGTTTCGGTCACTGTACACATTATCCTATTGCTGTTTGTACTGCATAACATGTCCCTGTGCATACTGTACATACTATATACAGTAGTTATATTACTGAAATATCATAGTTGCATTCATTTATATTGTACAATTATATACTTTGTTTATTTTTTGTTTATTACATATGCAGCACAGTTACATCAATTGTTAGTGTCAGTACCGACTGGTTTATTGTGAAGTCTGTGAAGTAGTCTTTCTTAAGATATATCTATATCCACTTTTTCTACCTTTTGCAAGTTCGATGTTAAACTGCATTCTGTTGCTCTGGTACTTACTGAATGACAATTTTATTTTATTTTATTAATTATAATGTGTATAACTGCATATAACTGCATTTAGAGATGCAGATTAGGATTCTACATTAGCTCCACTTCAAACAGCTACAACATTAAAACGCTGCTTATACATGAATGGATTAGTTATAATGGGTCCACACATCATAAAAGTACTTTTACTTTATATACTTTTTTGCTGCTACTTCTGTACTTCTACCTGTATAAAAAACTTAAATGCAGGACTTTTACCTATACTTTTAAGTAATACTTTACTTCGTATTATTTACATTTTTGTATTACTACTTCTATGTATCTGAAACAGCAGGTGCATTAAAAAAACTGCAAAAGGGTGTAATATCAAGGGAACAGTTACCAAAGTCTTCTGCACTAAGAAAGAGGAACAGTGATCAGTAGAGCAGAAAAAAGAGGAATCTCAAAAACTGAAATTTGTATGAAAGGTACCGAATATTGTCTTGAGCAAACAACAGCTCTATCGAGTAAATGGAGACATTTATTTTTACATCGTTTAAAGAATTTTCTTTTTCTAATGTAAGACATGAAAGAAATGCACCAGCCCAAACATTCGAGTTAAGTCAACAAACAAAACTTTGACAGTGAAAAATGAGTTGGAAGGAGCAGTCACTAAGTATTTCTCTCATGTCCGCTCATTGGCCGACTGTCATTACGTTTGTGTTTTGCTTTATCCACTCTGATGCCCAGAGAGGAAACCCATCCCCACGAGCAAAGTCCATGAGGGGGGTGTTCTCCACCCAGGCCCCAGTCTTCTGCCCTGTCATTGGTCACCACCAAACCTGCATCAGTTTAAAACCCAAACACCAGTTTATTCTCTCCCTTCACACCGCACTACCCCTAAAAAAACACAGATAGGGAGAGAGAGAACCATAGTTGGACTCAGGATGCCTGCCTACGCCACCAACATGAGGATGAAGTTCCCTATTGTGGCTTTGGCTTTGGAGATTATCACCATCATCCTGTTTGCTGTGTTTGTGGTCTATGATGATGGGAAAGGTCACGGGCACGACATGCACTCCAATGAGACGCACCATGAGGAGGCGCAGCCCATGGATCTCTACCCCAGTAAGTCTGCGTGGGTCTGCTAATTAGGGATGCTCTGCTACAGGATGCCTCAATATTTGGTCACTAGACTTCTTTTAAAGAGGTTAAAAATGATGGATAATCAGATTTTTAACACATTGCCGTTGCTGCAGCTTTGATGTTGTCAGAGAAAAAAGGTCATTGTTGTGCGGATTTTCAGTAGAATATGACACAATTGTGTGTGAAATTAAGAATTTAAAAAAGATTTTTTTAAAAGAATAAATCTCCCATATTTCATATTTCCAAACTTTGGTTCTCTAGTCTTGAACTTTGAAGTGTTGAGTGAACTGAAAAGAGCCGCCTTTCCTTCCTTTGAAGAATGTTGATTCTGTTTTAAGGGTGAAATCTTCCAAATATTTGCAAACAGAAAAAGAATAATTTGGAGGCTGTTTCCAGAGCAGGTCTGCTGATTGCAATAAGAGGAGTCATGGGGTCACATTCCCATTTCTCACAAAGTCTATTCATACACATGCAGCCTGAGGAGTCAAAGAGGATCCTGCAGGGAAAAGTGTCAGGTCTCATAGAGCGGAGGTCACATGTGTTTTAAATCAATGTGTCAAACACACAGATAACAGAAAATAATGTCAGATGTTAAATATGTGTTTTTGTTTAAACTATACTCATTGAGCATAGAGCGGCTTCTGCAGTTGAGGGTTGTTTTGCATTTTGAAAACTAATCATCTGTTGAACATCTGCTCATGATTGGGTGGGGCAGGTGTGTCCGAAAGAGATTAGCTCATTGGTCATAATTAAGTCTGAGTATATCTCCTACTTCAGATAGGACAGACTACAACATGCACAGCTTATATAGTCTTTCAGAATTTCTATCATTATTTTGATTTCTTCTTTACTTTTTGATCACACTGAGTTACGGTCTTCTCCCGACATATTATTATATGTCTGCTTTGCCTCTAATACGGTTTTCCCACAAACACGTTGATGCTGCTGTGTTAAATATTCCTAAAATCACATCCACTCCTTTTCCCTTTAATGCAAATCCATACATCAATGTGCAAATATTGTTTAGTAAAGTTGAACTGCTCGACACAAGACATCTTCTACGCCAGTGGAAAAGTGTGAGTGTAGTTTCCACATTACACTTGTGTAAGTTGCATATTGGACCACGATTGGCTTCCAAACGTTGTGGTATAATATACCGATCTGATGTGCACGTCTGCAGAACTGAGATTTAAGGTGAGCAGAGAGAAACCTTACCTCCTTCAGCAGATAGATGTGAAAACAGCTTTCTAGAGTCACATACAAACATCCAAGTGAGGTAACAATGAGCAGTTTATTTTTTTTAAAAGAGGTTTACTTTCATGCTGTTCAATGACATATCTGCAAATGCCTCAAAAAGATATCAAGTGTCAAGAATTTAAATTCTGTGGAATGAGCTACAGCCTTGACCATTTAGAATGCAATTGGATAACGTGACGACTTGCGGTTGCGTGCAGAGAGATCTGCGTACCAGACATCGGTAGTTATAGGATCAAAGGAAGACGTATGAGCAGACACATGTGGACTGCACTGGACTGAGTTAAAGCTATAGCGGCTCAGATCAATCATAAAATCGTGTAAAGTGACAAAACACTGCATGCATTTCTAATTAAGACTCTTGGAAAATCATTTTATCTTAAAAACATTAGCATAAAAACATCAAAGACAACAGAGAAATCTGCTGCTTCAGCATTTTTTTTTTTAAATGAAATAATAATTGATGTTTTAGCAACAGTTGCTTCCCTCCTCTACAGTCTGCATGACAGTAGGTCCTGAGGGGATTCTCTCGTTATCGTAAAGGCTCACCCAGTTCTTCAGGAGATTACTGAGCGTTGCCTAACATCTGGGCGTGGTGCCAGACACTGTGGCTGCTTTCCAGGCTTTACCTCCTCCCTATCCTCCGTCTACTGTTCACTAGAAGCCCCTACTACAAGAAAAGCGAGTCTGCGTCAACCGACTGAGTTTGGGAGGGGGGTCAAAGTACAAGTTGAAGGGGCACAAGGGCTCTGTGGATGTGAGCCAAATCAATATTTACACCTCCATTCGCTGCTGACGATATCAGTGTTTGAAACGCTGACCACATGTTATGCAGCGCTACAAGAACACACACCAGGACTTATTTAAGCCCAACATTAACACAAATTTCATGATTATTTTCTTGTTAAATTATACAGACTCATTAAACCATTTGTTTTGTTTACAAATTAAGAAACACTTCTTATTTTATTATTTGTGTTATTACTATTATATACAGTATATGTATATAATAATTATATTCACACCTATTCTTTACCTTTATCGGTCCAGCTTTGCTGTCCTTGTCCCTTGGTGTTATTTCTATTTCTGTGTAAGTACATTGTAAGAGTTGCAAAAAAACAGAATCAAATTCCTTTTATGTGCATACTTGGCCTTTAAATCAGATTCTGACTGTGTTCGTAAAGTGATTGATTGGTTTATCAAGCATTGGAGAATGTAAATGTTTGGTTAACAAGATGAGACATGACTTTAATCACCCTGAATACAGACTCTCTAAGTTAACACTCTGCCATGTGTCGTTATGGATCTTTATCCTTTTTATCTGAGTAAATTAGGGTACTTAAAATTCATTTCAAACATTAATTCGTTTCAGATTCAAGTAGTTGAAACATGATTCCCTTTCAACTATTATTTACTACCCCCTAAAACCTCTAAAAACAATATTCTGAATATGGAGCAGCCAGGTAACCGCTATGACTCAGTTGGATTTGAGCAGTTCGGTTTTTATCTGATTGGTAAATGATTAAAGCAGCCTACAGTGTAACATCTGTTGAAGTCAACTGCTTTTTGAGCACTTGTAGAAAACCAGTAAAACACTACACAGTATTCAAACTGTAGCATCTTCGGATTCTGCCTCACAAAAGTAGATGTGGGTGTTTTTTCACGACATGTTAAAATGTGCTGACATACTCTATATGTAAATATTGCTTGTGAAAATAGATCTGGATGAATTTAATCTCTTTCATGGTACCATTCTAAAGCGGCGGCACCAGTGCTTGTAAGATATTCTGTGTTATATTGAAATGTATCCTGAAGCAGACAAATAGAAATATTTAAATATTTTGCATGTGTACTTGTTTCATATCTACTGTAGGTATGTAATAGTCTTTTTAGATAAGTGGAGTTAAGACATGAGTCTTTATTTAAAGGAATAGCTTTGTGAGGTACGATTAGTTGCTTCATTGCGGAGAGGTAGATGAAAAGATCAATACCACTCTAATGTATGTCTGGCAAATATAAAGCTACAGTTAGCGCATGGTTAGCTTAGCTTAGCACAAAGACTAGAAACAACACAAGCCAGCATTCACCCATTCACAAACACATTCAGAAATTCAGAAGCCACCATACACACTCACAGATAGATAGCCCAGCCATTACCTTGCCCCAAGGTAACCTCGACATATAGACTGCAGGGCCCAGAGATCAAACCACTGAAGTTATGGTAAGTGAACGCTCTACGTGATGACCACCCTACTGAGCCAAAGATACAACAATATTGCCCAATGCGGACAACGTTATATGCCAATTCGGTAGACATCGCCCAACCCTAGAGACCTGTCTACAAAATAGGTAATGAAGCACATTGTTTCTCAGCCTGCGCACACCTCCACCGTGATGTATTTCCCACAAAGCTCAATCTATCAAGTGTAAAGGCCTTTAGGAAACAGGAGTCCCACTTCCTGTCAGGGTGATGACGCTGGCCTAGTTCTATGTCGATCCGCCTTCACACAGATAATCTCCTCTTAAAGAGCTTGTCTTGTTTTGTGTTCTTATTGCTGAAAATAGAATGACAACATCATGAACTGACGATGAAATAAACTCCAAACCCTGCTGTCTTTGCCCGAGTATTAACACAGACTAATAGATAAGGGTGTGCTCCCTCCGAGAACTTGTAAGTTCAATTTATTAAGATCATATGCACTTAATAGAAGCAGGAACAGCAGAAGCATTCTCCCAGAATCCTATTCATAGTGTGGTTGAATTGCTTTTCCAGCTAACAGGTCACAGCTGACAATACAGTCCCTGTGGAGGGAAATGACTCAAGGGAAGTACAGCAACTGCTCAAGAAATCATTTAAACTACAAAGTTTAAAGAATACCACCGTGTCAGGCAAAGTCTAATTTCTAATTGAAGGCAGAGTAAAAGAAAAAAAAAGAAGTCGTTCATATAATGAAATTTCATGTCAGCATTTAGCTGAGGCTAAAGTGGCACTCTCACGACAAAGCAGCGCCCTGTCATCGAATCGGCAGCAGAACTGACCTCCCTTCTCGTGTCTCCAGTGTTTCAGGATGTCCACGTCATGATCTTTATCGGCTTCGGGTTCCTGATGACATTCTTGAAGAGATATGGGTTCAGCAGCGTTGGCCTCAACTTACTCCTGGCTGCCTTCGGCCTGCAGTGGGGCCTTCTCACGCAGGGTCTCTGGCACCTAGACGACGGCAAGATCAAAGTTAACATCTTCAAGTATGAATGTCTTTCTCTGCACGTGTTGGTTTTCAGTAACCCCCTGATTAACATTTATGCAGTTATACATACATCACCAGCTAAGTAGCTGCTCAATAAACCAATGACCTGTCGTGTTGGCTGCTGAGTAGCTCTAACAGATCACTTTAGGTTCAGTAAATGATGAATGTTGAACTGTGCTGGCCTGGGGGTTTGTGTTCTAACTCTTCTCATCATCGTCCTATAATTTCTGTTCTCCTAAAGACTTGTTTTCCTCTCTACCCTGCAGAATAATCAACGCAGACTTCAGCACAGCTACCGTCCTGATTTCCTTCGGAGCTGTTCTGGGTAAAACCAGCCCTGTGCAGCTCCTCATCATGACCATACTGGAGATTACCATCTTCTCCATCAATGAACATCTGGTGGCCAATGTCCTCAAAGTAAGCACACAACGACACATTCACGTGTTGATGAACTAGATGAGCACAGTCAAATCCTGCATTGTGACCAGGAATAAACTTATTTGTAATAAACTGCATCACCTTTTCCTTCACAGGCTAATGACATTGGTGCATCCATGATCATCCATGCTTTTGGAGCCTACTTCGGCCTGGCAGTGGCTCGAGTACTTTACCGACCGGGTTTGAAAAACGGACATGAGAACGATGGATCTGTTTACCACTCTGATCTGTTTGCTATGATTGGTAAGAGCCAGTTACACTTCAAACTCATGTAATGTATTAGTCATCTGTTTACATTTTTAACAGGGATATGAGTTTTACTTGGTACGACTTATGTCCCCTAGTGGACACAAATAGCCATTCAGCAGGCACAGTGATGCTGAAGAGATCCTGACCTCAACTGGTTCTCAATCCCGTTCAGAAACAAACAGAGTCTTTAAATCTATAAGTACCTTGCAGTGTGGTTTGATAGGAATGACATTTTTAAGATGAACTGATACAAATGCGGTTTCTTTATCACCCTCTTCTCCAGGAACCGTCTTCCTGTGGATGTTCTGGCCCAGCTTTAACTCGGCCATAGCTGACCCAGGCTTCACTCAGCTCACAGCCGTGGTCAACACCTACCTCTCCCTGGCTGCCTGCGTGCTCTCTGCCTACGCCTTCTCCAGCCTCGTGGAGCACAAAGGAAAACTGGACATGGTCAGATAACTTTCCTCTAATGTCTAATAACACTAGTTCAATCATTTAAAAATAAATACAATTATTTACATATATTTATATACTACAGGTGCACATTCAGAATGCCACCTTGGCTGGTGGCGTTGCTGTGGGAACATGTGCTGACATGAACATCGGGCCATTTGGGGCAATGCTGATTGGATTAGTGGCCGGCGGCATCTCTACCCTGGGCTTCAAGTTCCTTACTGTAAGTTCAAGTCAAAGCAAAGGTGCAAAATAAAACAAGCAGATTTTAGATTTGTGATGTATTTGATTATACAATTATTTTTCACCTTGTAAAAAAGACACTAACTTGGTTGTAACAAGGGACCTTTTTCCTCCTCTGTAGCCCCTCCTGGCATCTAAACTGGGCATCCAGGACACCTGCGGCGTCCACAATCTGCACGGCATGCCTGGCATCCTGGGTGGATTGGCTGGTATTGTCGCTGTGGCTTTTGGAAAAAAGGAGGAGTAAGGGCCAGATTTATCTCCACAACTCTTACATATACATATGACTATATGTGTGTGTGTATGTATGCATATATATATATATATATATATATA